TCAGCTGCACTGCTAGTCAAATTGTTAGCATTTGGCATGCTGGGGGTGTGCTGTCGCAAGGTGCACGTGTGCTGTTTAGAAAGAGGGAATTAAGCTAGGTAAGGAATGGATAAAATAATTCCTTAACAGCTGTTGAATTCTTAGCATCTCTACTACAACAGTATTGATATGTTGGGAGCACCAGCTAAATGGCTTAAATTAAATGGCTGGGTGGGTTTTCTGTCCTGTTTATGTTCCGTACCCTGATGTGTGTCCGTAATGCTTGTGTGCAGTGAGTCTGGCAAACCTGCTGCACTGGCACGGGGGCTCTGTCCCTGACCCAGCCCTGCTGAGCTCTGGGGTAAAGAGAGAAACCCAGGGCACTCAGGTTGTGGGGGGGAAAGTGATTTTTTCACTTTCTCTTCCCACCTCTTTTGTGCTTTCCCAGTCAGTCCCCTGCACTGTAACCCTGCCTGACGCTCAGAAACACTGGGTTTGTGTCCACACAAGCAGATCTGGCTGTGGGTGTTTCTCTCCAATACACAGCTCTACCTTCCATATGTCTTGTAAAAACCTGAGCTGGAATCCTCTGGCAAGGTGTTTGCTTAACACTGTGGGCCTAAACAGAAACTTCACTGGCACTGTTTGCCGTCTTTATATAAAATTACCTTACTGCTCATAAAATTGTGGTTTGATGAATAAGTTAATTCAGTTTCTCATATTATATTACCATGCAGTGGACAGTTAAAATACATGGGAGTACGAGCACGTACTAACAATAGCTGAAAACTGAATGTTACTCGTTTGCAGAAGAGTGTGGTCCTAATGCAGGTATTATAGAAACTTAGTTCATTACTTCTTAGCGTACAGAACCCTCCAGCTTAGGAACCTAAACTCATGCTTATGCCCTTCTGTGGAAGTTTTGGGCCACTCCTCAAAGTTGTAGGCTCACTTATTTGTTATTTCATCAATTTCAGTGAACACTTTGCTTAACTTCATATGAAACCTATTTTATTTATGCCTGTAAAACTTATTTTGAGTTGATCTACAGTTTGGTTTTGGTGGATTTTTGCATGCATGAATAAGTAATTTTTTACAGCATCCTTTATGGATTTTTGCAAGTAAGCCAGTTTCTTATCTGTTTATATCAAATCCTTCAAAGACCGTGTCTGAAGTCAACAGAAAAATAGGTCCTGGTTAAAGGTAACTGTGTTTGCAGTTATCAGCAATTAAATTTTAAAAACAAGCTAGTTAGTTTGCCTTTGAGAATGCAAGTGGTTTTGCCTTTAGCAAGTTGTTTTAGAAGGCTGTGCCAACTCTATACCTCCCCTAGGCTTGCTCATACTGGTGTTCTCTGGCAAAGCAATTTAAAAAATGTCTTGGGCAGGATTTTCATAAATCTATTCAGCCCAATCAGAAGCTTCACTTAACAGAGCAATGTATAAATAGTGCAGGGAGTCAAGTGACCATCAGCTGGTCTGAATGGGTTTGACCACTACAGTCACAGGGTCTGAGGTATGCAGGAGCTTGGGATCACTGAAAACATGCTTTGCTGCAGAGATACGCTGGCTCTGGCGTAATTGAACAACTGCAGTGGAATTCATGTGTGTGGGAATGTGTTTTAATTGGACACCTGTATTTAATGTTGGTTTCACCTTCTGTATCATTACCGTGGGCTTTTAAAAAAAGGAAAAGTTACTGCCTTGATTAACTTTCCCATTTCATTAAGCTGTGTGCATTGCAATGCATAGCTGAACTCCACAATTACGCATTTCCTTTATAAACTCTGTGCCTACTCGCTTGAAACAATGCACTGATCTGTTTTACTGAATTCAGAACTTAAGACATAATGGCTCTTTGCCTAAGTTCATATTAGGTAATTAGAAGTTCTTGGCATGCTTGGTAAATGCTGAAATTCCATTGTATTGTGCATTAAGCATGGAGAAATATTTCTTCAACTGCAGTGCCAGTGCACTAAATTATGTGTTTTGGCCGTCCCGGGTGATGGCTTTATTAAATCTCAGTGAAACTGTCAGCTCTGAACTTTCAGATATGCTGGCTTGCTTTAGTTTGGGAAGTTACTGAAGCCAATATGCAGGTAATGACTTTTTTTTTTTTTTTTTAAAGCACTCAGCTTCCTCGCTTATAAGTATGGATTTTAAGCAAACTAGTAAAATGACACCTGTTTATGTTCATTTCACTTGACATCTGTGGCAGTGCTGCCCAGGACAAAAAAATTATCCAAATTCTGTGACTTCATGGGAAGAACTATTTTTCAAACCCAAGTAGTTGGTATTTCTCTTCCTCCTTCCTGACCTACCTTGGTATTCATATTGAATAGCTTTCTCCCACTTTCATTACAGATTTTAATGCTTGTCAGTGCCATCCCTGTCCTAAGAATGTGTTAGCCCATGATGTGACTCTCACAGCAGAGCTGTTTGAGAACTTATTTGTTCCCTTTCCTGTCATCTCAACAGCTAGACCTTTGATTTTAAAAGTTAATTGCTTTATTCAAACCAGGAAAAGTATGGTGACTTATGTATCTGTTACACTTCTTGCCTTGATTGATGTACTTAAAGAGCACTCAGTCGTATTAAACGTATCTTGATTCAGCAAGTAAAGGTACAAGTCAGTTAGGAGGTGATTCACAAGTGTTCTAGTCACCTGCCATTTGTATTTGATGCACAGCATGCATCCAGTGGGTTTGTTTTTTAATTTTTACGTGACATAACGATGGGCTCAGTTGCCTCTTGCCTTTTTGGCAATAAACCTTTGTATTAGTACAGTTCACCAGTGCCAAAAGTTTTGCCTGTTGGTTTTATAGATGGTGGCTTTTTCTCAGTAAATTGGTATCTCTTGCTTTCATGAAGGTGAGACTCCTCTCTGCTCAAATGTCAAACTCAGGCACTGCTCAGTGGGGTCTGAACATCCATGGCCCAGGATTATGGTACAGCTTGAGGCTTCAGGTTACCTACATGTGTAGAACTCCTGCATCTGAGGTGTTCACAAACCTCCCTTTCCCTTCCTGCAAGAGCTCTGAATTTGAAGTGACCCAACCTTTTGTCATCTGGGGGGTTGGACCTTTTCCTCACTTGCTCCTTTTATAGTTGCTAGAGGTCTGGCTAAAACTCGTGAGTAACGCTGTAGTTCATAAAGTAATAGATCAAATGTATTTTCATTAAAATAAAAAATACTAATTTAAAAATAACACTTGTATCTCCAAGGTCTTGTAAAGCTGCTGTCTGAGTCTCCTTGCTTCTCCTTGAAGATGCAGTGGCTGTTCTTCCTCTGGCTTATTCCAGAACCAGTTTGACTGAGGACCAGAGGGGACATATTTCCTCTGAGTGGCCACAGCCAGAAGTGCCTGTGGTGGATAAACTCTGTCTCCCTTTGTGGGATGACCCTCGCCTCCTGCACACTGCTGGGTCCTGGCTGAGAGGGAACCTGGGAGTGTTGCTTGCTCTGAGGTTGGGAATGGCTTAGCCCTAGGCTGGAGCAGGGTGGCAATACTGAAAAGGGTTACATTGGCTTGTCTTGAGGAGGACCGAAGCCAGGGAAGGGTGAAATTATTGCCTCCAAAAGGAGGGAGAAGCAGACAGGTTGCAGTAAATGAATTGTCCAAATCACTGAGGGGAGAGCTCCAGCAGAGAAATGTCCATATTTGATTCCCAGCCTCAGTGTCACTGTTCTCGTGCCTTGGAGTTCTGTCCCTGTTCCTGGCAGACCTCTCAGTTGTGCAAGTTCTAGAGGTTAGCATAGGTACTGTATAGGGATTAAATACTGTTGATTCATGTTTAATAAATGCTGTTTGGGAAACTGTATTGTGGAAAAGTTCAGCAGGGCATGCATGCTTCTGTTACAATGGGGGCATAACAGCTACCACTCTTTTCCAGAAAGTGTTTGACAGCAAGCTGTTCTGGTTATTTCCTTTCCAATAGACCAGTCTTGAATCAGTTATGGTATTACTATGATCTGATCAAACATTGATGGTAAAAGTACTCTAAAAAAAATTATGTAAAAATACATAAAACATGTTCTTAGTTATGGTTCTGTGTTAAAAAAAAATACTGTCATTAAAGTTGAAAGTCTTGCCACAGTTCCCAGTTAAATATTTAATTTAAATAAATACTTGAAATACTTAATGAGTATTCTAACTTGATGGGCATTTTTTGTTTTTACCGATACTGATTTATTTCTTGCAATGTAAAATCTTAACACTCATAGACTTCAAGGACTTACCTGGAGTACATTTCAACCACCACTGGAAGGCCAAGCTAGGCAGGTATCCACTGGGATTTTTCTCAGATGTGCTGCACTGTGCTGCAGCAGTTCCTGAGCTGACAGAGAGGAGCTGGGATTCCTTCATTTGACAGCAGAGATGAAAGAATTTCAAATCACCATGAATGGGAGTTCTTATGTGAAGACTTGAAATGCTGTACTGATTTCTAATAGGAGTGAACTCTAAGCATCTTCTGTCCTCTCTGCTAAATTATGTAGGGCTTGTATCTCTTTTTCTCACTGCAACATGGGATATGTTTCCCCATTTCAGGTTTACCTCTGTGCCTGTAAGTTTACTTTTATTCACTGAATGCTCTTTCTTACAGACAAAGAACAGCCTGGTTTTGCATAATTTGTGGCTTTTTTTTTTCCCCATGGCTTTTTGTACAATATTATTGGAGGATTAAGGAGAAACTTAAGGTGACTTTGATTCTGCTATTATTCTGCTTCACATTTTTGAGTGGTTCTTATTGTTTGCTTTTCGGGGGCAGGTCTTTACTAACACATGGGGATGAAATAGGTTATTTCAGAATAAATACATAGGAACACTGAGTGCTTGTTAATTATAAAAGCTAATGACTGCATACCTGAGGTGACTGTTCTGGCAACACGCTTCTCTGTTTACTGTCTGTGAGAAATCTGTGTAATACCAACTGTGGAAAATTCTTTCTTTACAAAGGCTAATCTACAGAACTCCTCCATATACTGATTTTTTTTTTTTTCTTTCCTGATTGTTTCTGCAGGTCGTGTTGGATTAATGCTGTGGATCGGTCAACCCAGAACCTGTAGTTGCCCGTCAGTCGCTCAGTAGTCAGTGTAGATTCTGTCTTTACTAATCAGCAGCTACATCTGGCTACTGGGTCTCTGATGACATCTCATATCTTCTGTCTAGACTTTTTTTTTGGATTTGTGTCTTCCCTCCTGGGTGCAGAACAAGTTTGCAGTGCGAACAAGTTAATGTCTGAGGCGTGGCCCCCAAATAAAAGAATGGATATCTGTTGGATCTACTTCACAGTGGGAATCAGATTAAATACCTGGATGTTGTGTGTTGGAAAGCAAGTCTTTTTTTCTGTAGCCTAGTACTGGGGTTTGGAGCAGTCAAAACTAGGAAGATATTTGCAAATTTGAGCAAAGAAGACGGTCGGACTTCAGTTTTTTCAATGAAGAGTCTTTAATCTCTCCTGCAAAGGAACGGTATTGAAACACCTTGGCTGATCTCATGGCCACTGTGAACTGTGATGTACACAGCTGGTTTTTATCAGTTGTATGTGAAGACTGTCCAGGTTTGGGGCATGAACCTGGCACACAATGTAGATTTCTGTGTTTGTTAAGCAACAGCTACATTGTCTGCTGGGTTTCCAGCTGCCTGGAAATACGAAGTGGAGGATTATCTACACTTTTTTTTTTTTCCCCCAAGTTACTTTCCTTATGTCTCTGAGGAAGACCAATGCAATTGATGTCCAGTTGCTGCCTCTCCTTCTGTTCTCACACAAGGGATCCAGCTGGTGTCATCTAGAGCTTGGAGATAGTGTAGATCTGAAATTAGTTAAGAAAGTAAAGCTTCAAGGGATTGAAGTGTTCAGGCACCTGAGCATGAGTAGATGTCAGGCAGAAGCTAATGCCTGCTGTCTGTGTAACCATTAGTTTGCCTTTGTAATGGGGCTTCAGATGGAAAACTATATATGTGTGTGCTGTGTAGTTATGGAATTCTTTTTGGAGAAGGGAGTAATGGGGAGCTATTTATAGGTCTGACTCTTTTTTTTTTTTTTTTTTTTTTTTTTTTCTTTTTTAAAGGGTGCTGTGTATAGCATGACTTACGTACAGAAAGTCCCTAGAAATAATTAGGGAGGAATAAGATAATGTCTTGAGTGCTGATACCAGCTGGGTCTCTTGTTTGTTCAGTGGCAGCAAGTGCTTCACTGGTGTGCCTTATCCAGCCACACAGCAGTGACAAAAAAGGCAGTTTCAGTTTGAGAACATTAGGCCTGGAATAGCAGGGGACTGCTGTCCTTTCAGACCTGGTCTGCAGTCACAGTAGTAAATGGGGAAGCTGGTACAGCACATGTGGTACTGTTAACCCCTCACTGGTGAACTCCATGGCATTGGCACTTTCACCATGGAAATCAGGAGAGTCCTGATGGCCACTCAGAGTGAAGGAAAATGTGATTTGGCAAAGCTTGTCTGTCTGTTGGACTGTACATGGGTGGTTTTAGATCAGAAGGCTTCCAGAACTCTTCCTCTGGAAGGGCAATATTCAGGAGGTAGGAGGGCTCCTAAGTGATGCTGCTGTTAAAAACTGCGTATTTTGTTAAAAGAAATAAAACTTCTCGTGCAAAGAAATGTGTGTCTTTTCTTGTTTACTACATCAAACTAGGTTTGCACCAAGTCTTTCAGGACCCAGGGACTATAAAGCTATTCATTGTTTGTTACAGTGTCTGGTGTAGACAGCCCCTCAGTACTTGTGTCAGCCTGACTGTGCTCAAAAAAATACACATTCACTTAATGCATTTCTGCATTAAGTAAAAATGTACAGACAGTTGCTTACAGCCAGTAGTTGGCACAAATAATCATTCCCTATTGAAATAACTGGATTGTCTAGATAGCTTTGAGAGCTGCTTGTTGAGGCTGAACAAGCATTTATCCTTTGCTTTATGTTGTTTTCCTCAGTGACAGTCTGTTGGTATCTACATCTCTGACTTAGCAAAACTGGTAATGACTTTGATATAGCTGAGTCTTTTTCTTAAATTAACTGGCACTTGCTCAGTGCTGTTACTGATGTTTCATTCCATATAGCCTCCTGGGTCTTGACCAACATATGCACAATGTTCCTAAAAATGGTAATACATTACTCTCTGCAATGTTTTTGTGGCTCATTTAGCTTCAACAGTATTAAAATATCAGCAGTTTTTATAGCATTGCTTTGTTTATAGTTGTCAACTCGACTCCAAAGGACTCAGGTCAGAACAAGGTATGTCTACCCCAATTGTGTATATGGCAAACACCATAAAGCAATTGAAAAACAGATCAACCTAATGTTTAGCATCAAGCTAAACTCCTATTCAGTTTCACTTCCCCACTGTGTTTCAGTTAAACTTACGATGTTGAAATCCCCTTTGTGGGCAGGTACTTCTGGTTCCTCTTATTTTTCTGTCATGCTACTTGCTTTTGTATACTGACACCTTTAAAAAAACCGGGGGGGAGAACCCACACACACTTTCCTCTGTTACGTTACTCTGAGATTCTTGCTTCATTTGCAGTGTCTAGCATAGCTAGTGGAAGCAAGTAAAAGTGGTTGCCTCTCCTACTGTGATATTTATTTTTTTAGTTCTTTGTTCCTTCTCTTCTGTATGGATTTCTGTGAAACTGGCATGAATGTATGATTATTTCTTCCTCTTCCCTGCTGAGGGTGCCTTTACTACTCCTGATTAGAGTACTGCTAACAGCAGCCTGAAGTTCTCCTTCAGCTTCAATGGAAGAAACTGGATCCTGTGACATAACATTTTCCACGTGTTCAACCTTAAGTGAGGTTCTTAGAGTTTACTTTTGCGTGTGTGTTTTCACTCCCAGTAGTAACCATGGCCATATTTTCACAGTGCTTCTATAATGTGAGGTTCACAAGTGTAAGAACTGACTAGGGTGCATGTTGTTTCTCAGAAAGGAAAGTGAGAATGAGATTCTAGCCTGGCCAGAGCTGACCCTCATTACAGCACTGTCTGCTTGCTGTGAGGGTGGTGAGACACTGCAACAGGTTACCCAGAGAAGTTGTGGATACCCCATCCCTAGAAGTGTTCATTCAGGTTGGATGGGGCTCTGAGCATTCTGGTCTAGTGAAAGGTGTCCCTGCCCATGACAGGGGGTTGAAACTGGATAATCTTGATGGTCCCTTCCATCCCAAACCATTCTATTCAAGGCAGTAAATGGCGACAACACAATTGCTGAGAATCTCAGCAATATCCTTTCTCCAAAATGCAGATCTTGAAGTTTGGCAGATTTGATTCAGATTTGATTCTTCCTGCAATGTCCCCTCTTTCCTGCTCAAGTAAATAATGAGGAATAAGATAGCAGCAGCAACTGGATCTGTTTGGCTTAGTAGATTGAAGAGGATCACAGCACTTTCCTAACTTTGTGTTTTCAGTTGCATCTCAGTTTATGTAATATCTTCCCACACTGGTATTTCTTTCCATCCCCTGACTTGCTTTTAGAATTGACTTGAATATCTATTTAAATCTTAATAGCAGGAAGAACAATATTTTTACATTCTGGCTCCAGATAACTACTGGGAAAGCCTCACTGCCTACTGTTTCTCTATTCTGTGACAAATACTTCTGTAGACTCTAGGCTTTATTTTTTTGGCTACGTTTATTCTTTCTATGCACATCAAGATTGAAACAACTGAAAGGATACATTTAGCCTGACCTTGATGTACTTGCAGCATGTCCTGCCATATCAGTACATGGTAGTGACAAATATATTCTGTAAGTTTCTTTAAAAAACACCCAAACGACCCTGCAGTCATTAAGTTTCTGACATGGCAGTAACTGATATAAAACCCAAGGCACCAAAAATCAAACCCATGTGTTTTGTAGAACAGAATAATGAGTGGGTTGCTTTAGTTGCCCTAAAGTGTGAACACCCATTCCTAATGGGAGACCTCCATCCATTGGATAGGTGACTTGTAATTAAACTATGGAAACCTGTAATTTGGACTTCTTTTGCTGTCTTTAACAACTGAGCAGATTCTGTGTCTTGTGAGAAAATGCTCTTGGGGATTGTTTGGTCGATGAGGGCTGTTTTCCCAGCTCCACTCAGCACCAAGGAATTCCCTGTGGAGTTACCTATGGAAGGTCAGGTCCAAAGGAAGGTTTTGAGGGTTTTAGAGCAGCCTTTGGGAGACCTTCCACCAGGCATATTTTCTTTCCCTCAGTGTGAGTAAGCATTTTCCAAAGGCATAAACACACCTGGGACTCCTCACCAGAAGTACCCTCTTCACAATACACTTTGGTGTCTGACTTGAATGATGTTGGTGTGCTTGTGCATTTTTACTCTGTAAATATCCCCCTAACAGTGAAAACTGATCTCCCAAAGTGAAGTTTAAGGCAAGATGAACAGTCCTGAGTCCTCTGTGGGATCTCTCTGGGCCCTTCCCGTATGGTCATAGCAAAAATCCCATAGCATAAAGTGCTTATATGGAGTGCTACAGCATGTGTAGAGCCTGTCTGCAGTGGGACTGTTTGTAGTGTGATGTGTTGTGTTGGTTTGTACAAATAAACTGAAAAACCAGACCTTGGTTGTGGGTGTTTGCAAAACAAAGCTCCGCTGAAGAGGTGTTGAACTGAAGTGGTCCTTGGCGTTTGAGAGCCCTGCAGTTCCTGAATCTGTCCTGTCTGTGGCTAGCCAGCTGCTCATAAAAGCAGTTCACCAAATGGTAGAAAGCCTTGAGAATCCAGTTTAATACCGACATTTTTCTCCTGCTGTGCTCCTTTACAGTTTCTAGTGGTAGCTCAAAGAAAATGCTGAATTGTTTTAGGAGACAAGAGGACCTCTCTGAGGCAGTGGCTTGGTTATGACTGGCTGTCTCTGTATAAAGCAGCGAGTTCTAGTCTGAAGGATCTGAAGAACAGTTGCTGCTCCTGCACATTAGCAAACTTTATCCTTTCAAGTTGGTAATTTTTCTATCTACTCTTAAAGCCTTGTTCTGTGGGTTGCTAAGTAACACCCGCACATATTTGATCTTCCATGTGCTCTGAATGCCAGTCTTCCATGCAAAACACCTTTCCAAAATTAGTGTCTGTCAAGCTCCT